ACACCTAGAACCAACTCCTAGAACCAACTCCCAGCACCTAACCCTAACACTGACTGGAACTTTCTGGGATCAATAATGTAACTGTGTCCTGATGGAACCTTTCATCATCTGATCTGCTGTTCAAGTTTGAGTTCTGGAAAGCATCTGTTCTGAGGAAATACTTCAGGAAGGTTCTGGTTCTACAGAATCTGGTGGATCACTGTAAGTGACGGTTTAAAATGAAACATGTAGAATAAAGTGATTTGGATTAAAGATCAGTTCCTTGAAGTCAGACTTGATGACTTTTCCTGATGGAACCAAACATCACACGTTTACTTCAGGGACTGTTGGACAGATGCCTTCTGTTTGTGGCTGAGAGGCTCCAGGTCTGGTGGTTCTGAGGGTTAAAGTTCTTTGTGGACGAGCTGGATGTTGGGTTGACGTCAGGAGTCTGTTCTGCTGTTTCATCATGTTTCCTGTTTTTCTCACTAATGAGTCTCGGTGGACTCTGACAGCAGCCGTGGCCTCGGAGGCCGGAGTCTTCGTGGACACTCGGACGCTCCGGAGGCTTCGAGTCGCTAACGGGCTCATTAGCGCCGTGACCTGTGGGAGGACGCGCTGCTGTCGCCATGGTTACACTGCAACACAAACACAAAGTGGGTCAGAGTTCAGAAAGTGCTTCAAGTTTCATCAGAACTCTGGTTTCATCTGTTCTCTGAACATCGGCTGATAAACTAAAAGAGTGAAAACCTTTAAATTCACCGAATGAAGGCGATTAAACACAGAGGTCAGAACCCAGTCAGAACCCAGTCAGAACCCAGTCAGAACCCAGCGCCGGAGTAAAGACGACCAAAGAGTCTTCATCTGTCACATGACATCAGAGGGAAACTCTTCAGTCGGATCTCAGGCTTCAGAGCGTTTTTACTGAAACTCTGATCAGTTTGAATCTCCTGCAGTTTGAACTTTTAATCTGTAGATTCTGTCCAGAACAATTTAAACGGTGAAAACATGAAGTTTTTACCTCTAAATCTCTTCCTGTCCTTTTATTATCACAGCGGCTTCACTGACATTGGAACAGGAAGCTCAGCGAGACGCTCCATCCTGGACGTCAGGCTGAAGAGCCGCTTTGCACTCGTATGATGTGGAGCTTTTATTATTTAGCAGAACTTTTTTCATCATCTGTTGACAAACTAAAGTCCTGATTTCTTCATTGACATTTTTATCACGTACTATGATGATGTTTTTTAAAATTAGATGACATAAAATCCTCTTTGACACGACATGAAACACTGTAAACCAACGTTCAGACCACATCAGGGGAACTTCCTGATCCGTTGCTGGGGAAACAAGCACCATAAAGTCACGTGACTGAGCTTCAGCGTCATGAAGAGAAGCTGCATCGCTGCTGTGAAGGAACAGAAGGAAGTAGTTCATAGATCTGATCGACGACACCAGGACTGTTTGTAATATTACACATCTACAGAAATCAGCTTCAGTCTCATGTGTTTATGCTCATGTCTGATTTGACTCCTGTCCTCAGTAGAACCAGCGCCTTGTTCTGGTCCTGTTTCAGTTTCATACTGATATCTGACATCTTTTCTACTTTTCAGTCCCTGCGTTACTTATATGAAGTCATTGTGTTTTTTCTGAGCAACTTCGGGCCCAAAACTTTCCTTCAGGGTTGATAAAGTTTGATCTCATGTTCCAGGAAGTCACCAGTTCAGTCAACAAGTTACTAGAATATGTCCCAAAGTGTTCAGGATGCAACCAAAGGAGAGCAAAACTCAACATATAGTTAATATTATAACACACATATGTAAATATAGAATAATATATAATATTATATATAAATATTATTATATTAAATTATAATAATAAATATATAATATTATATGATATACTAAAACGTGACGTACAGGATAAAATGTAGTTTTATAGCAACAGGTGACTTCCTTCTAGTTTTGTATTAAAGTGTCAGCACACGTCATGAAATGTGTCGTTTTAATAAAACAACATGAAGACATTTAAAAGCTTTGAGTAAAGCTGCAGGTTCTGTCCACGTTGAAATGGATCTGCTGGGACAGAGTTGACAGATCAGAAGTTCACCGTCTGGATGAGGAGGCTGAACGCTGACGTGGCCGCTGAGGTGGAGAATTCCCAGAGCTGCTGTGGACGCTGACGTCACGGCGCCGGCGCTGAACGCTAACGAGCTCCGGCGCTGCTCCTTTAAAGGCTCAGGCTGCTGCTCCGGATCTCCTCACCTCCACAGCTGAGAAGCAAATGTTGAGTTTGAAACTGTGATCATGAGCCTGTTTGGTTTTGTTTCTCTGCTTCATGTTTCAGCTGCAGCTGGTGGTGAACGTCTCCAGGAGTCGTGTTTTACCTCCAGCAGGTCATGATGAACTCCACTCAGGTCTCACACTTCGTCCTCGCCGCCTACGTCGACACCGGACTCCTGAAATACGTGTACTTCCTGATTGTTCTGTGTGTCTATGTGTTCATCGTGGGTGCCAACGTGTTCCTCATCGTGGTGATCTGTGTGAACAGGAGCCTCCATGAGCCCATGTACATGTTCCTGTGCAGCCTGTTTGTCAATGAGCTGTATGGTAGTACAGGCTTGTTTCCACTGCTGCTGGTCCAGATCCTCTCTGACCTTCACTCTGTTCCTGCTTCTCTCTGCTTCCTGCAGATCTTCTGTGTCTACTCGTATGGAAGCGTCGAGTTTTGGAGTCTAGCTCTTTTATCTTATGACAGATATGTGGCCATCTGTGACCCGCTGCAGTATCAGACCCGCATGACGCCTCGGAGAACCGGCTTGTTGGTTCTCCTGACGTGGTTCTACCCTGTGGTTGTGAACAGCGTCTCGGTGAGCCTGAACTCGGCGCTGCAGCTCTGTGGAAACGTCATCACCAAGGTCTACTGCGACCATCACGCTGTGGTGAAGCTGCTCTGTTCTGCTGCCGACGCCGCCGTCAGCAACGTCAGCGGCCTGGTGGTGTCCTTCCACTTCATCGTCCTGCCGCTGGCGCTGATCCTCTTCAGCTACCTGAGGATCCTGCAGGTGTGTCTGAGCGGCTGTAAGCAGAGCAGAGCCAAGGCGCTGAGCACCTGCACGCCTCACCTGGCCTCTCTCATCAACTTCTGCTTCGGAGCCTGTTTTGAAATCCTCCAGAGCCGCTTCGACATGAGCAGCGTGCCGCCGGCGCTGCGGGTCTTCCTGTCGCTCTACTTCCTCGCATGTCCGCCCGTTTTCAACCCTCTGATGTACGGACTGAACCTGTCCAGAATCAGAACTTCATGTAAAAAGCTCATTTCTCAGGTGGTTTATTAGCAGCTCTGCACGTTTCAGTTCATGTTCCAGATATCTGCATGTCTCTGAGTCACACAGAAGCTCCTCAGCGGTGAGTTTCTGTGACGTCCTCGGAGACGATACGTCCCTGAACGCATCACCTTCTGTTGGACACGGTTCATCAGGCGCTGTTGGACTTTCACACATTTGTTCTGATTTTCTGCACAAAAATCACTTGTGGTGTGTGAACAAGTTGTGATGTTGTCCTGGATCAGCGTTCTCGTTACCACGGTGATGATCAGGGTCACGGCCTCCACTGGGACCAGCAGCCTGTGGGACTGGATCCTGCTGCTCTCTTCATGAACGTTCAGCTGATTCTGTGGATCAGGATGTTCTTCAATAAAACTGAATTCTGTTGAAGTGGAACAAAGTGTGTGTGATGGGTTTTAGACGGTCCAAAGCTCTGTCCGTGCAGCAGATGTGATGTTACCGACTCTCTGACTGGCTGACTGTAGGTCACCACCTCATTATCACTACAACGTGCTGGACCACAGCATCAGCGCTGGTTGTGCATCTAATGAAACACCGTTTCCACTGAACCAGGAGCTCCAGCGCTCTGCTGTCACTGATCCGCTCTGTCTGAACATGAACAGAACACCAGTGAGTCCATTCACTCGGTTCTGTGATGGAATGAGAAGGTTTAACCCCAAGAACACCAAAGCAGCATCAAGAGACGAGGAGTTTAGATGAGCTGCACCAACCCGGTCCAGAGGAGTCCAGGATGAACCAGAAGAACCCAGCTGAGGTGGAAATGGATGCATTTCACCAAACAGTAGAACTTTTACATGAATATTTATGATCCAGCAGATTTTGTCATATTTCCAGAAGACCTTTAATAAATCTATGAAAGAACCAGAATTTGTGGTTGTTTGCTCACAAACACTGATGTCTCACTGATTCCATCACAGAACATTCAGAGTTGTAGGAGTCCAGTTCAGTTCCTTTAAGCCCAACAAACATTCCAGTCTCTGGGATCAGATGCTGTGATCCACTGTGCCAGATGCAGCACAGATCCAGTAGAACCAGTGCAGAAACCAGTCCACTGTCTGAGGCTCTAAGGAGATCATAGTGACCTTCACCAGCGTGTCTCTGAACTGTGAAGCTTCTAAATCCTGACTGATGGTCATCAGACAGACATCTGCTGTGATGAACTCTTAGACGCTCTCTAGTCCATTGCTGTCAGTTCAAATGTTATTAAAACCATCAGATAAATTCTGTGATTTCAGCTTCTTCGGTGTGAATGTTTTCTGCTTTCTTCCGTCCTCTACGACAGCAAACTGAAAATCTTTGGATAAAACTCAACTTAATCCACATTTTTCACAGTTTTCTGACATTTTCAACCAAACAGCTGAAAACAATCCACAGATGAATCAACAAAAAAGCAATCACTGGTTGCAGCCCTAATAATGAGGTTTAAAACCTTCATGGATGAATTAAAGGAGACCGTGGGCGCCTCAGTCTACATCTGGGAACACGTATTTCAGGAGTCCGGTGTCGACGTAGGCGGCGAGGACGAAGTGTGAGACCTGAGTGGAGTTCATCATCATCACCAGAGTCTCTCCAGTCACATGATGAGCGACTGGAAGCTTCAGCCACAGCTCTGAAGACGGAACCTGAACACACGTGTAGCACCTAGCATGTACGCTTTCTGTACACACATACTCTCATCATGCACATTTCTTCTTCTGCTGTTGTGACGTGATGGGATGACATCATCGACAGGATGCAGCTTCACCTCTGTGAACACAAACTAAATGAGCTGAAACTCAGACAGAGTCGGTGAATCTACACGAGTCAGTAAGACAGCAGAGACCCATGATCACCAAACAGCTCCAACACGGAGCCCTGGTTCCTTCACAAGGCCGACGTACCGGCCGATGGCCTGCTTCAGTCTGACGGAGCTGCTTCAGCTTCTCTTCAAGCTTCCCAGAGAGGACGTGACCTCATCATCAAAGATCTGATGATTCATACCAGACTGGTTCAGGAAGACAGACAGGAACGGGTTCTATCAACACCGTGTTCTGTCACGTTAGCCATCATTGGTACTGTCACCACACGAGGCGACACAACGATCAGTTTGACCATCAGCAGGCTCTGAATGAGGAGAGCAGATACAACCTGTCTCAGAGGTTCTACCAGAGCTACAGCAAGAGAACCGCCTCATTTACAGCATGACACCAGCTCACACAACTCGGGTTCTAACAACATGATCCAAGTGACGTTCTGTTTTCATGTCTGGGTTCTGTTTCAGGTCTGCATGAAAAATCCACACGACACCAGAACAAAGACTTTAGTGTAAATTCAGCCCAAAGTAGAACCTCAAAGAACCAAAC